TTTTTTATAAGATTTTATTTATTTTAATTTTAAATTAATTAAAATTTAATATAATTATTGAATAGTGAGATCGTAACAAAAAAAAAAAGAAAAAAGAACTGAATTCATCGAGTGACTGTCATCAAATGGTCCCTTCTGTGTTTGTGATCATTGAGATGCTTGCCCTTGGGGTGCGAGCTTTGAATTCAGACAAAATCAAAAGATTATCATTGCAGGGCTTGGTCAGTTTCAGACAGGATAAATAAATGAGATTACCGTTCAGGGGACCTCAAAGTCTATATATTTATGTCATAAGGCAGAAGATATTATCCTGGCCTCCAAACGAACCCCAAAATCACTCCCAGTGCGTGTGGAAGGTGGCAGCCTACCAGGCATAGTGGACCTCGTTTATTTTCTTTCAGCTACAAAGTCGAACACTTGATAGGCATGGCATCACCGTCTCTCTCTTTCTTCTCTTCTCTCGTTTCCACTCCTCTCGCTCACCGGAAAACCAACACGAAACACAAAGTCCAGGTTCTGAATTCTAGGGTTTTTTTATGCGAACTTGTTACTGCACCTTCAGCTACTCCTGCCAAGAAGAAGCATTGGAAGCAAGGAGAATACCCTGGTAGATCGGAGACTTCGATTCCTGGGTATTCCAAGAAAACCCCAATCAAGAATGTGAAGAAGAAACTCGACCGCAGGAACCAAGCTAATGCCTGGGCCTGCACCGTTACCGAAGCTTTGTCTGATTGTATAATCAAGAAGCAATGGCTCGAGGCTCTCGAGGTTGCTTTCTCTACTTCTTTGCTCATTCAATCTTACATCAATTTTTAGCAAATTCTCTATAGGAGCAGTGCAGTCTTTGTTTGGATTTTGCTCGCCAAATTTTGCTTTGATGATAGTGACTGAAAAAGCTTCAATGAATCACGCTTAACTTAGTAATTTGAATATTCAGGTATTGGATATGCTAAGGGAACAACCCTTTTATCAGCCGAAAGAGGGGACCTATATGAAACTGCTTGTTCTTCTGGGAAAATCCGGACAACCCCGTCGTGCCCACCAGCTGTTTGATGAAATGGTTGAAGAAGGATGTGAGCCAACTCCTGAACTCTACACTGCCTTACTGGCAGCTTATTGCCGGAGTGATCTCATTGACGAGGCTTTCTCTATTCTTGATAAAATGAAAATGCTTCCGCTTTGCCAGCCTGATGTTTTTACCTATAGTACCTTGCTTAAGGCTTGTGTCGATGCCTCACGATTTGACTTAGTTGAGTCCCTGTATGAAGAAATGGCTGAGCGATTGATAACTCCCAATACAGTTACTCAAAATATAGTTTTGAGTGGATATGGTAGAGCAGGGAAATTTGATCAGATGGAGAAAGTGCTTTCAGGAATGTTGGATAGCCCTGGATGCAAACCAGATGTCTGGACGATGAACATTATCCTCAGTGTGTTTGGCAACAAGGGCCAGATTGTTATGATGGAGCGATGGTATGAAAAATTCTGCAATTTTGGAATTCAGCCAGAGACACGTACTTTCAATATCCTGATTAGTGCTTATGGAAAGAAAAGAATGTATGATAAAATGTCATCTGTCATGGAGTACATGCGCAAACTTCAATTTCCATGGACAACCTCCACTTACAACAATGTCATTGAGGCATTTGCAGATGTTGGGGATGCAAAACACATGGAATACACATTTGATCAAATGCGTGCTGAGGGTATGAAAGCAGACACCAAGACTTTCTGCTGCCTTATTGATGGATATGCCAATGCAGGTCTTTTTCATAAGGTTATAAGCAGCGTCCAGTTGGCTGCCAAGTTTGAGATACCTGAGAATACCTCATTCTATAATGCGGTTATATCTGCATGTGCAAAGGCAGAGGATTTGATGGAGATGGAGAGAGTTTTTAAGCAGATGAAAGAGAAGCAATACCAACCGGATTCAACAACCTTCTCTGTCATGGTGGAGGCATATAGAAAGGAAGGTATGAATGACAAGATCTATGATTTGGAGCAGGAAAAACAGCAGTTATTTAGTAATGGTTATAGATATGAGTAGTCCACAATAAGAGTTGATAAATTGCCTTGTTTTACCCAATGATTATGTGGGAGAAGCTTTCACTTTTGTTCCAATGTGACTGCCTATGTGTTGATGCTGCATCCCTGTTACGGTAGAGCACTTTTGGATTGAGGTTCTTATAGTAGCTGTTTGGGCATTATTTGTACAGAGCTGATGTACCGACATAGGTGATTGGTGTGTCTACAAATATGAAGCAATTCAGTTGCTTAAAATTTGCTGGTGTTGCCAATTTGTGAAATTTTGATTCTTTATAAATTTCTCTTCCATTTGATTCTGAATTCTGTTTTGATGTGGAAGTATGCTGTTTTGATGTGTAAATATGCTGTTTTGCCTGATAAGAAGAGGATGACAGCCATCTTCTTTTGTTTTGGAATTCCTTCTGCTTATAGGATTTCCTGATGGAGGGGTGTAACTTGTATGTTAATCCAACCTCTCATTCAATTATCCGGTTGAATGCAATTGTTGCTTGAGTTATGTTTCAACGGATGATTGGAAGAAATTCCAATAAAAGCAGGAACATTTGTTGAAGGATCGGATGGAAGCTGTAATAATTGGAACACTGTTTTCTCCAAAGAGAAAAGTGAAAATCAAGATATGTCAAGACTCATTGTCCAGTTCTTCAAAATCAAATATCCTTGCATGTTGATTCATCAATAGTATTCTAGTCTTTTCATTATCATTCTTGACTTTTTAAGACGATTGGATTTCCCTCAATTCCTTCTCCAAATTAAGGTAAAAAGGCTGCTGCCAGTTCATATAATGTTCTTTACAAAACCGTTAAACCTTCCCATGAGAACTCAACCTCCTTTGCTTAGGAATTGTGAGGAAGAGGTTCTTGTTGCCTTTATGATCTCCTTTTTCCAAAGACAAGCAGCACTAAAATCTCCAAAACCAGCTGGAATATCAAAAATTGGTGAACCCTCCACAGGAGAATTTGCATTAGAAGGGGAAATCCAGTCTGGACACGACTTTATACACCTTGATAGAAAGTGAATTAATAATGTTATCCTGTTGATCTTACCTACAAAGCATAAACTGCATAACATACCAAAGTTTTTTTTTGATATGAAACATACCAAAGTTGGTGAAATATATACACACCGCGTTTTTATGGAAGATTCCCCTCCTCTTAGAATGCAAGAAATAGAAAACCGCATAGCTAGGAATCAACTGTCAGGACCTTGCAGTACCAAGAAATGAAAAATACCATGAGTTAATCCCGAACAAGTTAGACAAGTATGGTTACCAATTCAGATATTGATTTTTTTGTTTTTTGGTATGAAAGATTAAAAATTGAACTCTATACTTATGGTTAAAAGTATAAGTAATTCTACCACTAAATTACATGATTGATGCTCTAATTGAGATGTTGATAAAATAGTTAACACTCTAAGTTGCCTTGAAATGCTAATGGATGTCAATGTCATTTTCCTTATCACGGTCACAACTCACAATGACCCCAATGTGTAAAACCCCATTTTAGCCACAAGTTGCTCACAATTCTCTGGCATTTCCTCCATTTCTTCTTTCTTTTTCTCTGTTCTCAACGGTAAAGCAATCTTTAGCTTTCATTTTTTTCGCCTTCGCTTATTTCCTTTTGTCCACCAGCGTCTCAGGTAGACTCATTTGATTAATTTTTAGCGTAAACACTTTCTCCATATTCCACAAAGCTTTTTTTTTTTTTTTTCTTGGCAGGTGCAAAAGCTGGGACTAATCAAGGAATGACAAAAAGCTGGTGCATTGTTAAGCCTTCAGTGGAAAATGATCAGCTGGACAGGAACAAAGGCTTCTCCTGCTAGCAGCCAGTTGACTGCTGCAAGATCCAAATTGGCGGCCCTTGCTACATACCCAACAACAAAGTCTCACATGCTTCTTGTCATGAACCTCTACTTCCAGAAATGGGGCAGAGCAAAGCATGCCTGCAATTTCAGTGGCAGTGGTCTCATTATATACAATGATCCATGTTAGTTGTTATTATTACTTTTAACACTCACTAGAGTGGCAATTACAGAGATCTCTATTTTTTCTCTCTTGGTCGCAGCTGTCGGAACTTGCCAGTATCCTGCAAACTGAAGAGAGCATGCGGAAATGCGTACTCTTTCCTCAAAAATTGCTAAGTAGCTTTGCACACATGGAATCTGAATATAGGCATACTACTTACTTTTCTGAAAAATAAGAAAAAAAAGGGATTTTCCCAAGACCCTTTCTTTCCATGAGGTCAACCTTCGTTAGGATGACTGAAAGAATGTTGGTTTAAGATTGAGTTCTGCGCTCTTTAGACGATTTGCAAGAGAGAGGGATTCCTTCCTGTAGAATGAGTTGCTAATCTACCTTGATAATCTCAAAAACTTGACCAATATCATGAATTTAAAGTTAATAGATCCTAAATGAATTGAATGAAATGCAAATTAGAGTAAACTTGATATTTATTGCACAAAAAAAAATCAAAGAAACAATTACATAAACTAATTTATGTACTCGAATGCTGAAAACAACTTAAATTTACTAGAATTTGTACTAAAATTGAAATCTACAAGCTATGGTGAACAATTACTATGAAACCAAAAAATTGAAAATTTGATGAGTTATATGTAGGGCTGATCGTGTGTGTTGAAAAATCTGAAATCTTCTTTTTATAGCTTTTTGTAAACTGTCTCCCCACTTCACTTGTTGGTTGTTACAGAACTTGGATAACTTCTCAACTACACTTCCTAAATTATAGGAATTTTTGTTTCTTTTGAATTTAAACTGCAACAAACCAAATAATTTTCATCTTCCCAAAACTAATTTTTACAAATATGCATCCCTACAAGAGATATGATCTCACCTTATCGCTTATTTATTAACATGTGACATCACTAAAAATCCAATTTATGGTGTAAACATATACTAAATAAAATATGTAACCGAGTTAGATGAGGGAGATACTATTTTGGCAGTATCATATATGTAGTTATGGACCGACCTTTCGTTGTTGTTCTTGGAAGCATAATGGATTTCAATTGAATATTTTAATATAATGAACTCCATCATCCATTAATTTGTTATAGTGTATTTAAAACTACTGTGAAATATTATAATTGTAATTTTTTTTTAGTATGTTACTATAAAAAAAGTTATATTATTTTAAATAATTGGTTTGAAAAAAAGTCTTACACATTAATATAATTATTATCTTATATAAAATATCAATTAAAATTAATTTAAAATACTGTGTAAAAAAGCGCTTCAAGAAAGCAAACCACATGCAATCTTAGGCTTGTTATAGAGTTCTCATTTGATAATTAAAGGGACAAATAAGGCCCACATGAGCATGCCACATTTTCTTCCAAATCTTGGTTTATTCTTCCCTGTGGGTGTGGGTCATACGCTGAATATATTCACAGCCCACAAGAAAGCCACAGTAGTCTTTTCCAGGACAAATGAAGTTGAAATTCCAGTGGCATTTTCATACGTCTAGACTCTAAAGTAATGCATATGAGGCGGTAATCAAGGAAGAAACAATCAAAGAAATAATAACTGAGGAATATTATCAATAATTGCATAGATTGTATCAGATGTTTTTTCATTATTCTTGCCTTTTGCCATTTGCTTGAGTTTAGGCTAAATATTAGTCATTAGTCTGTATATAAAGATTGTGTACTATACAACTTATTTACTCAATTCAATTGAATCTTCACATATTCTTCTATCACTACACAGAAATTATCATGGTATTAGAGTCAGGTTCTCTCATGAGAAATCCATTGTTAACTCACCTAACAGGATTCAAAAAGTACTGGCCTCCATTTAAGGACCCGAAGAGTACCGAGCTTGCATTTAAGGGGACTTGTTAACCCATGTTACAGGACCCGACAATCATAACGGGTCTGCACGTGAGGAGCGTGTTGAAATGAAAAAATCTCATATTGAGTATTAAAGTAAGAAACTTGTGGGTTAAATACAAGGAAGGTCACTTCACGTATAACCAATTGATTTTAAGCTGGATGTAAACCTTGTGTTGAATCTGCATGCACAATTTTCAACAGTGTACTCATGGATTATATTTTTTACCCCTTTATTCTCAGATGCTGAAACTGCTGCGGGCCAGCCGAACAGAATTACTTCAGTCGCAGGGTATGATCCGTGTCGGTGAAGTAGCAGGGTATGATCGCCGACAACATCCACAAATCACCGACACAAAACCAGCTGGTATCACTTATTGCATTATGGAGACATGGCCCTCCTGTC